AATTGCCTAAAGGAAATAATAATAATAATAAAAAAACCAAACAAAAAAACCCAACAACTAGGAACAGAACTCTGACTTCCTGAGCTTCCAGCTGGTGCTGCAGCCACACCACCACCCTCTCCACAAAGCCAAAAGTGGTTTCTGGGTGCTTTACAGTGAGTGGTGCCCCAGTGCACAGTCCAGCACTGGAGACCCAGCTCTACATGAACCTGTTTTCAGCACTTGAATTCAAGGTCTGCATTCTCTTAAGAGCCACTTAGGAGTATAAATGCCAGCCTGACAGTTCAAGTCAATTTTGTATCTAACATTAAAACACAACAAAAACACCCCCGCCCTCCCCAAACCTTACATATTTAAATACTTACATTTGAACACTTACATATTTTTAAAACCCCACAAACCTCTGAAAATGCCATGTCGGTGAAAAGCAACCAACCAAAACCAGTTAATTCATATGGTGCTTTAATAAGTGCTGTTTCCCAGAGTGTCTGCAAGGGACTGGATACAAGAGGACTGCTTGGACACTTGGAGGATGAAAATGTCCTTCAGAAATTCTGCTCAGTTACTGTCACCCCCACCCAGCACAGCTACTTAAATCAATAGGAGTTTTAGTTAAACTGCAAACTTCTCATCTGAGTCCTCTGCAAACCCTGTTCCTGCACTGAGCTGGGAATGGGAATGCTCTCCAGCACATCATTTGAAGAAAAGGAGCTTCTTGAGTGAAGACATTTTGTATCAAAAATGAAAGTCAAGTAATCCCATTTCCAGTGTGCACATGTTGAATGCTGCTATGAAAAATCCAGATCTTTCAATGCATAACCAGCCAAGTTTACAACTACTAAAATACAGCTCATACTTTGTATATTTTCATTAAATAGCATCAAGGACAGAGGGGTCTGGAGGAGACAGACACCTTATCCCTGTTTAAAACATTTTCCAATTAGAACATTAGTTAAAATATCCATCCAATTATATTTTTTTTTTTGGTTTTTTTTGTTTGTACCTTGCTAATTGAGTCACTATTCAAACAGATCCTTTCCAAAAGGGACCTTTCTCAGCCCCTGGTGCTGCAGAGTGCTGTGTAACGTCCTCACCCACTTTACCTCACAGCACTTTACACGTGGAAACATCCTGTGTGCCTAAAATAAATGAAAAAATAGACAGATAGATAGATAAATAGATAGATGATTGATTGATAGACAGATAGATAGATAAGTAGATAGATAAGTACATAGATACATAGATAGATAGATAGATAGATAGATGGATAGATAGATAGATAGATAGATTAGATAGATAGATAGATAGATAGATAGATAGATAGATAGATAGATAGATAGATAGATAGATAGATAGATAGATAGACAGATAGATAGATAGATAGATAGATAGATAGATAGATAGATAGATAGATAGACAGACAGATGCCAGCCTGTAAGTCCTGTTTTGCAGACAGATCACGCTCTCTCCTCAGCTGGAGCCCCCAGCAGTGCCTGGGACTCACCACTTTATCAAACATTCTCCCAGCCTTGGATGCTGCACACAAAAAACGGCGTGTGCAGGAAATACACGTTGTGTATCTCCAAAATGGGCCCTGTCCACGGCCATTGACACTGATGGGAGCTTGGCCATTCACCTCAGTGGGATCAGGAGCAGCAGATAAAGATGGATTGGCTCTCAGTGTGCACGCTGCAGCTTTATGGGCCTGACAATATAAATATAAAATATAAAAGCCCTGGGTGAAGTAATGAAATGAATTAGAACAGTGCTGGGGGTGTCAATTTTCCTCCTTCTGCCTTCACCTGCTGTATAAGGAACATTAAACATTTCCCTGGTTAGCCATAGAATCATAAAAATTACAGATAAAAAAAGCACTATTAAGTCTACTTCCTGCCAAGACAAAATTATTCCTCCTTGTACCTTTTCTAATCCTCTCTGCAGTCGAGTTTTACACCCCTCAAATGTTCTGGCATCTTTTCCTCTCTGTAAAGAATTATTGCATCAGCTACTTAATCCCACAGTCAGACAAGAGAGGGTTTTTCCTAGAAAGTAAATCAAAAACAGCAAAATACCCTATTAAAAAAAAAAAGATACATTGCTCTGATTTTCCTCTTACAACCAGTCTTCTTTCTATTTTAAGATGTTTAATCAGCACTGAGTATGGTAAATAAAAAAGGAAAATATGTTTTCAACCACCACAAACAGCTGGCAGGAGCAGAAATTCTTCAGTGAGACACAAAGGCCGACCCAAACCCAGGTTTATGTTGCACCTCTTCCCCCCAAGAGCAGCTGTGACTTTTTGATCCAGGCATTTCATTTGGGAAGCACACACAAAACATTTTTTTTTAAATGGAGCCATGGAAGCTGTATGATGCTTGCCCTGCTGAAAACTATGTAGAACTACTCAGAAAATAAAACCTTCCACACCATCAGACCTCGACCTTAAGAGGCAGGCAGGAAGATCAGCCAAAGAAAACATCCTCAGACAAATGTTTCATGATTCCTATGATCTATCTTATAAAAACCCATCTTTAGTCAGAAATCATGTGGTGGGGACACATCTAAAAGCTCAGGTTTGTGGCTGTGTGTGCCCTGTGCTCTCTGATCCAAGTCTGACAAACCAAGAACTTGAAGTTTCAGCTTTACCTGCAAGTTAAGACATTACCAACATGTTCTGTTCCAGTTTCCCCTGGAACAAAGAGGAAAGTTGCATCAGCTCAGCAGCTACAGAACAGACTGTTTAAGTCAGGTCAGATTCTCAAAATTTCCTCCCCCCCAAATCAATTTTTCTGGTAGGAACCCTGTCCTGACACAGCTGTCCATTTTACAAGACAAAGGCAGGCATGTTTTATTTAAATGCCCACTTAAAGACCTTGCAAATTTAAAGCAATCCCACTGCAGTCTTCTTAACTGATGGCCTCAATTTTCCTTCTAGGACAGCCAAATGAGCCAAGGGGATACTCCCACCCCAGCACAGTGGGAGTACCTGTGGCTCTCCCACTTCTCTCCCCCAAAGGAACTCTCCCCTCTCCACTCATGGATCTGTTCCTGGACAGAGTGCAGCACTGCTGCTCTTCCATGCTAAAAGCCAGAGAGAGTCTCTTCTCCAATATTTCACATTTCTCACCCACTGCTGCAGTCCTGATCTTTTCATTTTACCTCCCTCTCAACGTGCTTCACCTTCTCTTTGCACATTTTGCTACGAAAGCCAGGAGTTCATCAGTCCCCCATGTCCACTGTATCAGTCCACAGACATCTGGTTTTCTGCTCTGTCTCCCAGTGGAGAATGCTTTGGACAAGCCATAACTGAACTGTGTCAGATGTCACTGGATAAAGGATGAAATTTGGCCAATGCTGACATTGCCTTTCACCTCTTACTGTGCCAACTCCCCCGACATGAACGGGGAAGTGGCTTTTTGTGTGTTGGAAAAGGGAATGGCAGAAGAGCACAGGAGGGGTTGAACTCCAGCTGTCTCTGTGCTGCTGGCACTGGGGTGTGCTCTGCAGGTGGCACTGGGCAGCAGCACAAACACTCTGGTCACTGCCTTCCTCAGAGATCATGAAGATTTCTCTGGGGACCCCACAGTCCAACAGAATGGTCATTTTCTTCTCCCCTATCTGCAGGCACCTGCCTTTTCCCTGGCACTGCAATTTCCTCCAGGATAGAGAGGCCAGCTTGGTTACTACCCCCTTTCCATCAGCCTCGCTCAGGAAAGAGGAGGAAGGACACAGCATTGCATTTCACTACAATTCACTGGCAAAAACAGGTGTGGTCCAGTGGAAGGTGTCCCTGTCCAGGGCAGGGAAGCTGGACCTGGATGATCTTTAAGGTTCTCTCCCACCCAAACCATTCTATGACTCTATGAAATGTATAAATGTACAGTGTCACACACACCCCATTTCCCCATGAGCAACTCATAAACTCCCTCTTTCTTTAACTCCTCTCTTCTTTAAAACACCATTCTTAAATTCAGTGATTATAAACTTCCATCTGGCAAAGAACCCTTTGCTCAGAGAGGGGTGAAAGGGCTCCTTTTCACTTCCAGACAGGCACAGGATGGAACAAATACACCCCAGCACTCCTGGGCTCGATTCAAGCACTGCTGGATCAGAAGTTTTTACAGGTAACACACAGGCAAACACAGTTTGCATGTGCACATCTGCCTGGACATTTATGGGGGAAAGATATAAACACCATCAGTGCATGTTCCCACCTGGCCTCACACACCACAGACAGGACATGGGGAATTCACACAACATTTCCTACCTGGGGGGATCAGGCACTTCTCCAGATTGCCTGCTTTGCTCTTCAGGGCTGTAATTACCTAACAAACCCTCTGAGTCCTGTGCTGTTATTGTGGTTATTGATTGTTCTGCTTCTGTTTCAAAGATGTGCTCTGGCCATGCTGCACTGGGGCACAAACTGAGTACCAAGGCCAAACACAGCTGCATCTTAAGGGCATTTCAATGCAATTTGCTCTTTCAAGTTGCTGTTTTTGCAAGCTCAAAATATGAACAAATAGATAAAAAATAAAAAGCTGGTGTCCATAGAGCTGCTGACCTTTGCAACACTAAACAAGAGACAGCTTTTAAACAGTAAACAACTCTGCAAATTTTGCAAATACCAAACCTGTTTTGCCAGTGCTTGGAATAGCCAGCATTTCAGATGACACACTACATACAAATCAGTTCTTACAGAAACACAGATTTCTAGATGTGCTCAGAGAGAATGCAGGATTTCTGTGACCTCAGACCATAGAAACCATTTATTTAAAAACACACTGTGTCATAACTGAATTAATAAATAAAAAACAAAACAAAACAAAACAAAACACACAAAAAAAGTAGAAAACTCCACCACATTAGGCCCCTATTCTAGAATAAAACTCCCTTTAAAAGCACCACCTTGAAAATAATACAAAGCTCCCTTGACTCCATAAGGACTTCCCAGAGGCCCCCAAGTCCATATTGAAGACACATTGAGTATTTTAAGCCAAAAGAAGTTAAATATCCAGCTTCCTTTTTATTAGGCAGCAATGCTCTAAATTCAGTTCCCCTGGACATGTTCCAATACACGTCCTGTATCATAAATCAGGATTAATTTATCATCTCTTCCTCACAAAGAGCCCACAGGCAGCAGCTGGACTAGATTTTCTTTAATTTAGCCACGTACATCGGCCCCCAGGCTCTCCCTCTCTCTGGAAGGACCAGAAGCTCGTGCTGCTGCAAACCAGCCAGAAAAGTGAATTCCTGAGAGACAGCCCTGCCCATCTCACTGATATCCACAGGCACAAGATCGCTGCAGGAGCTCAGGGCCAGGTTGATCACAGCACTGTTTTCTGCCCTGGACAGAGTGCACGTGGAATACACCAAGCAGCCACCAGGACGCAGGGCTTGGACAGCAGACCTGAAAATAGCAACAAAAACAAAGGAAAAAGGGAAAAAAGTCAACATAGAAGTGACATTCTAGTGTGGGAGAACACGTAAGGACTTATAAATCTGGAGTGTAAAGAAATACGACAAAAATAACACTATGGGAATGCCTCAACAGCACATAATTGAGTGTACAGGGTTGCAATTTTAGAAACATTTCTCTGAATTCTGCAACTCATTTCCCAGGTAAGAGGACCTGGGGCTTTCACTGAGCCACTGCTTTTCAACCTGATTCCCTCAGGCTCGTGTGTTCTTTATGTGCCCTTCACCTGCTGACAAATTCTGACTCCACAAAGGCAAAATAGTGGCTTAAAACCTGAAAGCTTCGTAACTACTGGTGGGTGAAGGGAACAGAGGGTCTTCATCCCTTTACCACTGAAACTGAGTTTAAACCAACTGCTTACTTTGCATTAAAGCAGGTCTGCAAAGTCCTTGTATTTCAGAAACATCAAATATAACCTGTGAGAGTTAGAAGTGATATTCAAGCCACATTCACCTACTGCAAATTAGGAAAGTTAAGGAGAAAAATCCAAAATCTTGCACCACAGAAGAGCATTCTGCAAATGTGATACCAGCATGTCACTAAAAGAGAAAGCTACAAGAAAGGTTTGCTATTAAATATTTGCTATTAAATCCCATTAAATGATATACACTGTCGCCTTGAAAAATATATGGCTTAAAGACTGTTTTTTTCACACAACTTTAGTGCATACCAACACATGCCAACTTAGGCTTCAGTGACAGCAAAGAGTCTGAAGTTTTAATGATGTTTTCTGATCAACAGTTTGGAATTACAGCAGCTGGATGCCTGCATGACAGGAGTGAGATTCACAAGAGATGCACTGATCTCTCCTAACCCCCTGTACAGCAAGAGTAACAGATAAGACTTTTAAAAGAAAGATATTATTTTAAAGCTTTTTGTTTGTTTGATTGTTTTAGTTTATTTCTGAAGATTTACTAAATTAGGGAAAACAGAGCAGTATCATTGTTTAACATCTCAGGGGAAAAAAAAACCATCATGTGAGAGCCAGAATTCTAAGCCCAAAAAACTCCTTTACATGCCACTAAAATGTAGTTGCCAGAATCCAAAAAGAGGATTTTTCCCACTTACAGAAAATTAGACATGATAGGCTGACTTTTATCATTCTGAGAGTCTTGGTGTCTCAAACACCCTTTTAAAAATGGGCAGAAAAATACAAATATTACATACTTTAGCTGCCACCTGCATGTCCAGCCTACTCCTCCTGTGCTCGGGTTTATGTTGCATGGCATTGGAAGGGTCAGCATTAATTATGTTCATCACCCAACCATTTTCAGTGTTAAAGTAAAACGACTCCATATTTCTTAGGGCAATTTTAAAATACTACAACACTTCAACAGTGCTATCTTTTGGCAGCTAAGATGTATTTCTGCTAAGTATGCCAGATAATGTCTCTTCAGAATAAAAAATGCTGAGCTTTTTAGAAGCTGTTTGAGAACAAATGCATCTCAAGGACACAATCTTGTGCCATGTGCTCTGGGATGACCCTTCCAACCTTCCCTGTGCTGTAATTTGCTTTTATCCTCAATCCTAATACTTTTTATTGACTAAAGATACCCACATCACCTTTTTACTCTCACAAGAGTCCAGATACCTTGTGGTAATATGATGTGCATGGTAAAGATTTGGCTTTTATTTATTCAAATCAAGCCAAAATGACAAAGAAGCTCCTCCTGTGTCAAAACACCAGGTTTGTTTGTTTGTTTGTTTGTTTTTTGAATACTTTGGGATGGGCAGTGAAAGAGGTGCCCAGGAGAAAGTTCAAATACTCTCTCCACACCCTGAGCACCCACTCCCTCTGCTCCCCTCTAAGCTTTGCTGCTGTAAAGAGACACTGCAGCTCAGAAAAACACAGCAGGAAAATCATGAAAATGAACTGAATTCTTCTGAATTAAACTGAACTAGAAACAGAAGTAGGCACAGGCACCAAAAAACCCTAAACCAAACAATGAAATCCCACAAATGCAGCCCCCTGTGACAAACCTTCAATTCTTCTGCCATTTACTCATCCCAGATCCACCTTCATAACTTGTGCACTCTCACAGGTCCATCCATCCCTCTTCCCAAACTACACTTATTATTTACAGGAAGTAAAAACCAGACAGAACCCAAGCAGAACCTTCTCAGCTACAGAAGGGAGAAGGAAAGGCTTTTGAAGCCAACCCTGCCACCCAACTTCAGGGTTAGAGGTTTTCCTCACTGCTTCTGGAACACACACACACACACACACAGAGAAAGGACTGAAGGTGGAATTAAAGCAAAATTCGTGTCTAAATTTAAATATGTGATCCCCAAACCAACTGACCAGCCACTGGGTAGCTTATCTGTTTATTCATACAGTTATTTATACATTCAGTAAACTTCGCTTTGCAACATTTCACGAGCGACTCAATCCATAAGTTCCTCTCAGGATGTTGCCAAAGGCTTAATAAAATCAGAAACTGTTTATTTAACCCCCCCACACAACTAAGAGCACACAATTCCTCTTCCAGATACAAGTGGAAACTCTGCATTTCAGTGAAAATACAGAGATGGCACTGAATGAGGGAAAAGAAATATCGTGATTTTTCCAGTAAATATTTACTACTATGTGAAAAAAGACTCTTTTTTTTCCAACAAATAAACCTCTGTACACATTCTATGAAACCCCATCACAAAAAATTTTTGGTGAGAGCACAGGACACAAACAAACAAACCTGAAGTTAAAAGCTGCTGTTTTCTCTGACATGTGAAAATCAGTGCTGTGGTTTCACAGACACACTCATGAGTTTAACCATGACATTATTAGGTATCCAAGCTTAGCCCTAACATTTAATTTCTGCCTGAGACCTGGTAACGTTGGGAAATTCTCTTTTCAGAACCAGTGTGTTTTGTGCCAGCATTTAGAGCAGGAAATGAATATCCCTTCCTTACTCTGCAATCTGTTTTCTGAATGAACACTCCAAACAATACCAACAAGCTCTGCCATTCTTGGATGGCAGCACTCAGCAGGGATGCTCTGGTTTCGGTACTAACAACCCTTACAAATCAGTGGTGCCCTCCCTGCCTCTCCAATCTGCTGTTCAGCATTTCTGCCACACTTATTCCCATTGCAGATTTCCTGCACACTGCAGTAGGAAGGTTGCTGCAGCAGTTTCAACACTTCTTCCAGATCCTCCTTCTCTGGAGCACCTCTTCACTGAAATAATGACACCCCATTGCAAACCCTGCTTCCTTCCTTCACTTCTCTCTTTGATGCCCCAGCTTCCCCCCACAAGCAGATCCAGAAAACCAGGTTACAAGTGAAGCATTTCTTTAATCCAGAAGAAGGGAATCTCAAATTTTAAGCTGAGTGTTGCTTGATAGAAATACAAATAGAACTCCACTTTGATTTCCTTCTTCTCATTTGTATGTTATTCTCAATACCGCTGCTAAACTGGAATAATGCTTGGCCCTGATACTTCGAGCTTCACCTTCAAATGAAATCCAAGCAGATACAGGAACCAAGGTGAGAAACTCCTGGGAGCACAAAGCACCAGGGAACCTGAACCCACAAACCAGCACAGCCCTGCAGGAGCTGAGTCATGGAAAAAGCCAGATGAATGTGAAGTTCAGCCCTTCCAAATATTACTGGAAGTATCTGAGATGGGACTCAAACTCAAGTATTTTAATTTATAATTATGCACCCTACCCAAACTTGAATAGGGTGGCATTCCACAGTTTTAGTTTGGCTCAACTTTTAATGCTCTTGCCATGTTTAGCTTTTCCTGATCTCGTTTTATCATTTCCTTTTACCCTTCGTGGGGGATCTGAGACATCTTTGGTACTGGGAATTCATTCTAAGGTAAAAAGAACAGTGACAATACAGTGGACAACTATACATCAAATATTCTACCCAATAACCCTTATAATACCTATCTCTTGAAATTAACCATTTATTTCAAATGCTCCAAAATATTTTAAAAGACAAAAAAAAAAACCAAACCCAAAACTCCAGGGCACAAAGCAATAGATTGGTTGACCTACAGAGCTACTCAGACCTACACTGAGCAATAAGATTGAAATTACCAATCCTTTGACTACAATTTACATACCCAAACTACTTTGTCCTTAGCAATCTAATTCTTACTGCTGTTGCAAGAGTAAAATATATTTTCAACAGAAAGATTTCTCTTGATTTAGGAATCATTCAATTAAATCTGATCTGGGCTGACAGGAACGTGTCTTTTTTTTAAAGACAAGGTTCCTGCTGTCATGAGTTCTCCAGGACTGCAATCTGGAATGATTTATGCAAATTCTCACAATTTTGCTGCATGATACATGCTTCCTTTTGGTGCAGGTTCACAAACTGGATTTTGTATGTCAGATATTGAAAAGGGAAAGCAGAACCAGGTCAGTGTTTTAAATGGGATTGATTTCTTCAAGGGAAAGGGGTGACATGATGCATTTCTGCAATGAGATACTCATATTTCTGTTATAAATCACAGGCTTCTGCAAGGCCCTTTTGCAGCTGGAACTCATGCAAAACTGTCTTGAACTGCTGCAATGGGAACTTTCCATTAAAACTTTCTATTTTTTTTTGTTATTTTTCCCCTCAATTTGCTTTGACAGATGAACTTCAGGCGTGACTGTTACTGCACAAATAACACTCGAGTTTAGAAGGTTCTATTGAGAAGTCTTTTTTTTTTTTAATCCTGAAGAGAAAAACCATGGAGTTATAAAATACTTCCCAAATGCCAGCCTTTGGCTGGTATCATTAAAATGTGTAATACATGACAGCCTTGATTTGGATTTGGGGGTGGATGTTCTTAGAAATAAACAAAGAATCCTCTCTGCCTGCCAAACCTCACATTGTTTGACTTTTTTTACCCTATTGATTACAAATAGTCAGCTGGGTACTGAATTCAAGCAGCAAGTAAAAATGTGCAGCAGTGAACTCAACTCCTCCACACAAAGAGCCCAGGAGGAAATTCTGAAGTGGTGCTGAGCAATGAGCACAGTGATGGCTGCTGACCAGCTCTGACTCACAGCTCAGCCACCAAAAAGACTAATAAATAATAAAGAACCCTTTTAGCTGGGCCACCAGAACTATTTGGACACTGTACCAGACTGGTGAGAGTCATCTGACAATGGGCATGTATTTGAAGGAGTGAGTTAAGAGTTAAGTTCATCAGCAGGGCAGCAGAGGACTTGGGGCTCACTGCTGCTCTCACCCCACCCAGATTTCCACACTCACATTAACCCAGGGTGCTGTTTATTCTAAAAAGCAGCACAACCACATATTCTTCACTTCATTTTCACACAGTGAATCCTGGGTTTGTTCATTAAACAACTACTTGAACAGCTTTCTTTTGCATTTCTCACCTCAGGAGCTGGAATTGTAGAGATGATAATTCCTTCCTCTGGAGCAGCCTGAGTGTAGCTTGATGAGTATCAGAAGAGAAAAGCCAACTTCTGTCATTTGAACAAGGAGTATCAACCAGTACCTACACAATAAAAAGCAAATCAGATCACTCATAATAAAGATATTCACTTTCTGAACACCACGTGCTAAAAATCTATTCAGCTTGCTTCTGCAAATACCTAGAAACACCCTTTTTATATTTTCCATTTTCAGGGGTGAAATGATCCAATTGCTATTTTGAGATGTTTCTAATGGAGTTATCAGGTGAGGAGATAAGAAATGAGTGCTCCAAAATAAACCCCTTGATAAGGCAGATATTTTTGTGGGGGGCAGAAAAAAAAATGAGAGCAGCATAAGAAGAAAAATAATCAGAAGGCAGAAATATAATTTGCTAATAATAATAATTATGTTACCTTGTCATATAATTCATGCTTAAGATCTCCAATGTGCCTGCCATCCAGTTTAGACACCGTTATCGAGTCAATCAAAGGCTGTGGGATGAAGGATTCTATGGTCTCTTCCAACCATCTTGCCCTCAAATCATCAAATTCATTGCAGTGCAACCAACCTTAGAAAATTTAAAAAAAAAAAGAAATAAGCACCCAAAGATAAATATTTATGTGTTTTTTTCCAATTTTTACAAATATAAGGAGTTAAGACTGATTTTAGAAGTTCTACTGCTTTGCTAGAGCTGACAAACTTACAAGTCTGTGTTACTGCACTTTTCAGAATGCTGCTGTATTTTTATAAACCTAAGTAAATTTCCACATGCCCCTACAGAGCAAGCCATAAATATTTACAGACGAACACTTCTGTACCAAGAGACTGCGACAGCAAAACAAATCCATTTAATCACAATCCATATCCAAAGACCAGGGCTGAGTGAGGGCCTTTCTGGGCTCCTTGAGCCACTGCCCAAATGAAGTTCATGCCCCTTATTATTTAATTACTTTTTAAAGAAATAAAGCATCAGCAACTAACACATAAACTTGGAAACAACAATGACAACTTGCTTTAACTCCCTGGCCCAGAAGAACAGAGCTGCTGCTTGCTGTTGCCTTTTAAACACTCTGATTGGAGTCCTTCTCTCACATCTGGGTGGCTTGAGACCCAGAGTTTATTAAATCCTGATACAGACCAATTCCTCATTATAAACTTTCTCCCTCTGCCTGTATCTTGCCCATTTAATTTGCCATGCTCTGTTCTATGTCAGTACACTTACATTTATTCACAATATTTGCACACCACTGGCCAAACAGAGAGCAGAGGAAAAGAAAAAAAGAAGATTGCAGATTACTTACAGCTCTGTGGCAACAAATCTACACGACTTTAAATAACTTCTGGAGAAGAACAACAAGGGAACCAGCGGAGAAAAAAACCCACAGAGCTATTCTACTGCAGACTGATGGACAAAAGTAACTCATAGTTAAGTGACCACTGCATTTCTCATCCTCTTTTAGGCAAACTGAGTTCACAAAAATTCTATTAAACAGCGTGGAACAACTATTGTGGTTTGGGCTTTTTTGCCTCCAACCCGAATGATGTACAGAAAACAGACACAGTGCCAGGGATCAGCCCCTGGATACATCACCTGGACAGGCACACTGCAGGATAGCCACTGATTTCCCCCCTGGAGCAGCACAGAGATCCAAAACCTTCTCCCCATCCTTCACTTGCAAGGCCAGCACGGGCAGCAGCGAAGCCGCGTTCAGCAGGTAACACTCCTTCAGTCTGCCAGCCTGGTGTTTGGGAGCAGGGAATCTCCCAGGAGTTCTCCTGAGGTAGCACTTCAACGCTGCTGGAAGGTAGGGCAGAGCTCCTTGGAAGGCAGGGTGATAGCCCTGCACACACAGCCTGCTCTCCAGCTCAGGGCACGGGCTGAACCTGTTCAGCAGAACCGAGTGCTGCCAGCACAGGGGATCTGTGAGGACATCTCTGCGGGGAAAAAAAGGGAAAGCTGCTTAATAATCTGACAAATAAGTCAAGTTACCCTTTCCAAGAAACCCTTTACTTACAATCCCCCCACTGGATGATCAGAAATTAAAACATTTTGGTTCGATATGATTAAGAAGAGTACACAGGAAAATAATTTCAATAGGGAAGCAAGACACCATTTTTTCTAATTATTGCATTTGAAACACTTAATTTCTTCTGAAACAAGATGTTCTCCATTTTTCTTAACTCTAACAAATGCCTGCAAAAGATATATATGATGAAGCATAATGCTCTTTCCATCCACTTAGGACTTACCTCCCTAGGGACAAAGAACAACTGCAATATTAGCTGCAAATATCACAGCAAAAACAATCACATCACCTTTGCAGAGGCCATTCCAGCCAACACTATAACATGCAGTTTTTACAGTTGTTCTTTTTACATTTTATGTTCTGCAAACAGCGGGCCAGGAACACTTAAAGCAGTAGATATTCCTGGAGGACAGTCAGAAAGCAGTGCTTGTGTGGTACAAACGTGCTTGTTTGCTCTTCAGTTCACTTCTCCAGGCCTATTCCCCATGGATTTCCCCCCTTCTCCATTTGAATCCCTCTTTGCAATTTTTCATTTAGTCTCAAAGGATACTCCTCAGGAGTATCCACTGCCTAAAGCAGAAAAAACACTGATCCAAACTGAGAGAGTTTTTAAGTTGATTCAGTTAAACTGAAGCTATACACCCATGCTTTTATAGATATATTAAAAAAACCCCAACAACAATGGAGGCATTTAATTTAAATTACTTTTTAATTCAAAGAGGATAAACCAAAGAGGGCATTCAGAGGAATTACATGGTTTCTGAGACTCTGATCATGATTTTTCATTGCAAGGAATGTTCTTTAGTGGCTGTGTGATTCTCCTCCCCTCCCCATCTCCCCAAAACAGACCTGACACTGCTCCAGGCATTTCCCAGTTCTGCCGTGTACTGCTTCTCAAAGTGATCCAGAACAACTCGACAAATCTGCTTCTGAAGCTTCCCTTTTGTTTCATTTTCCAGCTTCGGAGAAAGGAAGGAAAAAAAAAACACAAAACCAAAACCGAAAGTAATAAAAACAAACAAATGAAACCCTCCTTAGTTCTTCAAAAACAAAACCGAAAGTAGTAAAAACAAACAAATGAAACCCTCCTTAGTTCTTCAACCTGGACATTCAAATATCCTTAAGGACACCCAGCACCTTCCTGCCGGTCCCCTCGGACCAGTGAAAGAAAGGCAAGTTAAAATACAGTAAAAATTTAGCTATGTTGGTAACATTTAGCCATGTCAAGTGTGACTTTGCAAGGTTGTAACTGCTTGAAAGAAGGCTGCTGCCCAAATCGTGGGCAATTAAGATAAAGTAAACATGTTCCAGCATGTGGCATCGCAAGGGAGACAGAAGAGGGGTGGGGGGAAACCCAAGCTGCTTGAAATGATAGAACTTTATGTAACTATAGTAGTAAGAATGGGAGTTAGGCCATCAAATGTCTATATAAATAAGGCAGACTTCGTAAAGAGTGTATATGACAGATAATTTTGAATCTCGCTCCTTCAAATGTATAAAAAGCTGTTGTGTTTCTTTACTCGGTGGAATGCACGGGGGGTGGGGGGCGGTGCAAACCCCCCTGCACCTCCCCGTCCGTAATAAAAGCGTGCTTTACACACAGTCCAAGGATTTCTTTGGAGCGCTGACGGGAGGCAGAACCCGCAGGGCTGAGCCCGGAGCTGCTCCTCTTTGTCCGCCGGTACCTTCAGCCCGCCCCGAGCGCATCAGCGGGGCCGGGGGTGCCCCTTCCCTCCCTCCCTCCCTCCATCGCGCTGAGCCGGGAAGGATCACCCCGGGGGCACTGCCCGGGCTCAGCAGCAGCAGCAGCAGCAGCAGCAGCAGTTTTGGGTACAAGGTCAGAGCGGCCCAGGCTGCATCCCCCGTGCCCGCCGCGCAGGAAGAGCCCGAGCGGCGCTCCCGCCGCTTCCGCCGCCCGCGCCCGGCCCTGCCCGGCCCTGCCAGCGCTGCCAGCCCTGCCATCGCTCCCCTGTCCCTGTGCCTGTCCCTGTCCCTGTCCCCGTCCATCGCTGTCCCTGTCCCTGCCATCGCTCCCCGTCCCCCCCACCGCTCACCTGCCCCGCTCTCCTCCGGGCCGCCCCCCGCAGCAGCAGCGGCGGCCGCAGCCGCATGGCCGGGCCCGGCACGGCGGGGCAGGGCAGGGGGCAGGACCCGCCCGGCCCCGCGGGGCGATCCTGGCTCCATTCCCACGGGATCGGGGGTCGGAAGGGAGCTCAGGGAGCCTCTGAGTCGCAGCTTAGTTCCTGACCTTTGTGTTTCTGTAGTTTGGACTTTTTGGTTTCTTTTTGTCGTCGTTGTTTTGGTTTTTTGTTTGTTTGTTTGGCTTTTGTTTGGTTGTTTTTTTCTGGGTTTTCCGGTTTGTTTGGGGTTGTGTTTTGATTTTGGTTTTTGTTTTGGGTTTTTTGCTTTTGTTTTGCCCTTTTTTTTTTTTTGCCCCTCAGCAGCCTCGTCCGAACCACCCCGGGGATCAACCTGCTGCTACTGCCATACAAAACTGATGGAGACCTGAGAATTATTCCACAAACATCTCCCACGTGTTGTCAGACAAGCCATTCTCTGGAAAAGGAGGCAGGGTTCAAACTGGCCTCAGAAATCCAGGCTGGTGCAAAGGTCACCTCTAGGATAGCAGGAGAGCTATCACACAGAGAAATATTTGAGTCTCAGGCACCTACTCAGGAAGGCCAAGAACATTTTATGCAAATTGCCATCACACTTGGAAGCTTATTTAAAATGTTTCATTCAGGATTGTGCCAGAGGGCCTGCAGGCAGAATGGACACTTCCTGAAAGGAAACCTGAAAGGCTTTCGGATAAATGAGTTGTACCAACAGAGACACAACAAAACCGGTGTGAAAAGTACAGTTCTGTGTGGCTGTAATTCTGCCAAGGCCAGTTCTGCAAAATGTTCTGCTTATACAGTGCATTTCTGTGTTCTTACCACTCCTGTATGGAGGTACAAATACTCTCAGCTGAATGCACTGATACATTTTGGAAGTGATATTATTGACAATAAAGAGCATCAAACCCTGGAAATTATTATTAGTGCAATAATTACCTCTTAATTTACAACTTATTACCTCTCAAGTATTCAAAAGCACTTTATATGTACACATATACTCATAACTTAGTGCCAATCTATCAATATATTCCAAATTTGACCACACTGCTGTTGCAGAAATTCTGTCTATAAGGTCTCTATGTTGTCCATTTTAGCAACGTGAGACTTGCAGCCCTTAAATATTTATGACCATACTTGCTTCCAAAAAGCTTGTGAATTTATGATAATACAGGAAACATGTTTTCTTTGGCTGATCTTCCTGCCTGCCTCTTAAGGTTAGGGTTAGGGTACATTCTCTCTGCTGCAGATTACCTCAGGCATGACAAACCAAAATTTCCCTCCCTGCCCACTCCTGACTGCCTCACTTTACCCCAAAATATTCATTCTCTCTGGGACAGATTGCCCCAGATTCTACTCCCAACATTTTCCTCACCTACCCACTTGTAAGCAGCTCATATCTGTCTAGAGAGGGTCATTCTCCACCCCACAGACCACCTCAAGCTCTTCTCAAACCTTTCCCTGCCTGTCCTCCACCCAGTGCCTCATCTTCACCTCAACAGATGCCTTCTCTTCCCAGGACATTACCTGCACTTTAACACCCACAAGTTTCTGTCTCTGTCCCCACTCATTCCCTCAGCTTACCTCAGCATGTTCCTTCACTCCCCTGGAGAGAATGAACCTCCTCTTGAACCCCCAAAGTTTTCCCTTTCAGCCCACTACTAATTACCTCTTCTGGAACACAAAATAGTCATTCTCTCCTCCAGAGATTACCTCGGATTTTTACCCCACCTGCACACTACTGACTACCTCATTTTCACCTCCAAATATTCACTCCCTACCCTGGAGAGTTTCTGAAGCTTCACCTGTCCAGTAAGGACTGCCTCAGTTGATGGCAAAAAGTTCCTTCTCTCTGCCAGACGTGGCCACACCTTTTACCCCCAGAGTCTTCCCTGGGCCCGCTGGAGTGTCCACTCCTGATTGCCTCATCTGCACCTCGCAGTGTTCATTCTGGACCCTGCAGATGACCTCAAATATTTCTGCCCTAAATGTCCCCACCTGCCCACCACTGCTCACCTCAGCTGACAGCGTGCTGTCCTTTCTCTCCCCTGGAGATAAAACCTCGTTCTAAACCCCCAGGGTTTGAACTCAAAATATCCATTCTCTGCCCTGGACATTACCTCACGTTGGACCCCTACAGTTTCCCCCAGATGTCCACAACTGATCGCCCCAGTTGACCCCATGAGGTGCATTCTCTCTGCTCCATGTGACCTCACATTTTACCAACAAACATCTTCCCTCCCTGCCCACCACTGACTGCCTCACTTTACCCCAAATGTTCATTCTCTCTGGGACAGATTGCCCAGATTTGACTCCCAACATTTTCCTCACCTGTCCATGTCTAAGCAGCTCATTTGTACCTAGAGAGGGTCATTCTCCACCCCACAGACCACCTCAGCTGATCTCCAACCTTTCCTTGCCCAGGGAGCAAATGCCAAGAGGCAGGAGAAGGGAAACGTGTCCCTCTGACTTACCCCACCCCACGGGCAGGACCAGGAGCCCCCAGCACGGCCGGCGGGGCTGGAGCCTCTTGCCTTTGGCTGCTCACACCCCGAGGCATTGGGCACAGCTGGGCTGAATTCAGGGCTTTGGCCTGTCCTGAAAGAGAGCAGAACAAGACATTTTTCACTGCTTCTTTACTGTGCACAGTCCTTGTGACCCCCACACTAATTTCATTTTAGACTCTGCCTGAAGGGAACAGCCAGAGGTGTGAAACAGCTGGAGGAGGATGAATGTGACACCTTATTATGAAGTAGCAGTTTGAAAGTTATCAGCTTGGTCCTCGGTTTAAAAAAGAGTGCAGCTCTCTGAAACAGCTGCATTTGGAACAGATGGACCCAGTCCTACACACAGCATGAAACCAAGAGGCAGCCCCAGACAGGTTTAATAAGTGTGATCTCTCCCTAGACCTATGCATATTGTTATTATTATTATTCCTACGATTGCCATTTCCATTCTGTCACCCTGGCAGACACAAATATTTGCAGCATGGAGAAGCAAATACCAGTCCCAAACACAAACCAGATCTTCATCACACAGAACTGATTACAAAACATTCACAACCCACGACAGAGAGGAGGAAAAAACCAAGAGACAGCTCCAGACAGACAAGTACAAAGAAACACGAAGAGACCACTGATCAGTCTGACCAAACAGCTGGTGGTTGATGCACCCACAGCCTGTGTGTGTGCTCAGCTCCCTGGGGACAACTGATAGACTGTTGGTAATCAATGGAGCACAAAACCACATCACAAAGCAATTCTCTTCAGTGGCTGAATCCTTGTGAATGAATACCTTGAACTTCCACTGTCAGCACCTGGGGGCCTGCAGACAATCTAAATAAAGGATCTTTGCCAGGACATTTAGCATGGCCATGCTGCTTTCTCATGTGAAGAAGCTGAATTCCACAAGTTACAGGTGAAAATTAGATGTCCCAACATTTTTTCTTTGGCCAGCAAAGTGGGCAGGGTGACTGAAAACCACCATTCCATCTCCTTCCTTTCCTTCCTCCTTTTGCCTCTTACAAGTTGTCCATCCCTTTTTTTTCTCTCTCTCCTCCCACCCCCTTCATCCTGTTGGATGATTGTTTCTCTGTGTGCCACACAAGCATCCTCAAGCTGTTTCCCCACTGAGCACAATCTACAGCCTTAAGTGTGATCCACTTGGGGTTCACACTCTGCCCTGCAGGATGGTGGAATCACTGAGGTTGGAAAAGACCTCTAAAATCATCGAGTTCAACTCTTAATCCAGCACTGCCAAGTCCACCAAGAACTTGTGTCTCTGAGCACCACACCTACCATTTCACAGCCTCCTCATTTTCCTGTCCTAAGCACTAACACTGTTGGAAAGAATTGTCTGTCCCAACACAGCAGCTCATCAATTTTGTTCTTGCTTAACTTTACACTGATTTTCATAGTTACAACAGGAACAAGATGAGCAAGGAGATTAGGAAGGAGATGGGATGCACCTCTCACTCCACTCAGAGTATCGTTCTGAGCTTTTCTGAACATTGGCTCTGAACAGTTACAACAGAATTATAACCTCTGCTCCTCAAAAGTGAACCCAACCCTCACCTTTTACTCCACATTTTGGAGCAGATACTGTTTTGCAATGGCTGTGCTCATCACTGCTGCATCACAGTGCATTTGACAGAGCAATTTCTATTTCTTTTTCAGAGAAATAACATTTGAGAAATCCTGAAAATTAAAGAATTAAACCCTTAACTAGAAAATATCGCTGGAGTCTTGGGGGAGGTAAAAAAAAAACCAACCAACCAAAACCCAACCAACCAAACCCCACGTAACACAAGTACAAATATGGAATAGTAAAAAGGCAGTCTAGGGAGAGACTGATATATCTGATTAGGACTTCATGAAAACCAGCACAGACAGTGAGCTGAAGAATAAAGGATTCAGAAAGAAAGGGCTTAAGCAAATTATTTCTATTTGTGGAAGCAGGGACGTGCTGTGAGATACAAAGTCTGAACAATCCTGGCATCTCTAGAGGAAGCAATTGGACAGTGACAGATTTATTCTTGCCCTTCTGAACACAATGGGGGAGTTACTTCTAAACCCAAGTGGTCTGTGCAGCCTCCACTCTTTTGTGAATGATGGATGACACATAAATCGTGTTTTAAGCCACCCATCACTACAGTCTGTGACTGAAATGGTAACAAATATCTCTCACTCTGAGGAAGAAACAGTGAAGAATCAGTGAAATTCAACTCAACTCCCACAGCTCTGGTACAAAATAGATACCTCTTGACTTCACTGGAGCTGCACCAGAAGAGGTGACCCCTTCATGCCTGGAACTTTGGAGGAAGGTGACAGCAAAGAAATTACTGTTTAACATGACCTCAGCTTGAGCTTCCTCTCCAACACACAAAAAGCCTGGAAAAGCAGAGAGTGTTCCTTCATCTGCCTCAGGTTGCACCAGCTGTCTTCAGATATCTCCCTGTTCTCTGAAAAAAACCCCAAACTTTCACACTTCTTGAACTATAAAGTATTTCTTTCAAACACTGGGACAAAAGGAATATTTGAAAGCGATGACGCACACACGATTTTAAAACTGATCCCGTTGAGCACAAAAAGCTCTTCATGTGGAACTCATTCATGGAGACATTTATAGAATGAACATAAATTTGACTTTTTTAATAAACCCTCTCCTGTTTCATAATTAAAATGATGTGCAGGGATGTTTCAGAGGTTGATTCATACCAATAACTAACCAGGACAACAGGGCAGTCACCACTTCTGCTACCTGAAAGATCCATGGCTGGGAGAATGCCCAGAACCCCAAGAGCTGAACCAGAAAACCCAAAGCAAGCAGTGCAGAAAGACTCTGATGCCTTGTGCTGCTTCCAGGGTTACCCCTCAGCTGGGGGACAGGAGGTCTGAACACTTCCCAGGAAGGAAACAGAAATAAATGCTTGTCACTGCCAAATCACAGCTGCTTTAAGGGGGGCTGGGCAAGGACAACTGCAGCATCTTTCCAAACAAACAACAAAAATGCTTCTATTTTTTACAAAAATTAAGTCTCTAATGTGGAGAGGTTAAAAAAAAAAACCAACAAACAAACAACAAACCAAAACAATTAGGACTTTCTGGTAACAGAAAAAGAGTCCTTTAACTATTGGAGGGACATGGGAATGATTTATGCTCGTTCCTTGGGCTGCAGAGCCTGGAGATGATGCCCAAGAACTGCCCTTGTGCTGCTGCATTCCCACACCTCAGAGAGGGCAAGATTCTGTGGAAGCTTCAGTGCCAGGACAGCCTCAGCAATAATGGGTTAAAAGCCTCGAGTGCAGTTCTGGAGATGGCACTGACCTGTGCCAGGGGAAGAAAGGGGCTTCTCTGCACCTCTTCTCACTCCCAGTGCCCACTCTGCTGAGGAACAAAGGGGCCTGCTCCATTTGGGGGTTTGTGCACAACACTGTGTCTGACAGCAGAGGTGATCCTATTAAAGCTGATGGCTTGAGATTAGGAAAAGAAATCAGATTAGAGAAACATTCAAAATCAATACAAATACAGCAGATATTGTGCTGTTAGAGAATAAATTCTTTTGAAAGCACAGAATGTGGTACTGCTTAAAAACTACAGCAAACTCATCCCCCCAAATCCATAACACACTTGTCTGAACAGGCAAGCAGCCTGAAGCAGGACTCTTTGGGTTTCTTTACTTTCTTCCAATTCCCTCTCTTAATCAGGGCTGTTTTCTATTAATATTTTAAATCGTGCTAACTTTTTTTTGTTCAAATTAAAGAGCTTTTCTTCATTTTATTTACTTTTTTGGTGTAAAAAAGCTTTCAACCCTTCACTCTGCCATGCTCAACAGGCTGGATTCAGGTGTTCTTACAATGCAAATTTGCTCTTCCCTCTGATCTCTTGTCCTCTTCCTCCTCACCAGTAACAGCTCCTTGCACACAATTTACCACAGTGCTGCAGCAAATTCACACCTGCAACTCAGGAGCCTCAGTAAAAATAATTCTGCTTTCTGTCTGTCCCCTCCCTTCCATTACTTCAGGGAACCCTTGGTCAGGCAGAAATCTTCTATGGGTTTCTCATTTTTTATAACTTATACCCATCAAACCCAGAAAAATGTTGTGGCACCACAAAGGCTCTTTCAAACCAACCAGATTTTAGGCTGCCAGTAAATTTGTCACTAATATTTAGAAGGCTGAGGAATGAGAATTCTCCCCAGTTGCAGGCACAGCCATTCCAGGATAAACACTCAGATCACTGATTATGGCAGAACTCAGGGATGTCTCTGAGCAAGCCCTTTTTTCTGTCTTTTTACCAACTAAAGCTGATTTTATGCCATCCTGTGCCATTCTAATAACATGCTAAGCCTTTGGAGATGCTGATCTTCTGCCAGGAGGGATTATTGTAATATGCAATATCAAGGGATACATAAAAGGCCAGTCACTCTACAAGGTCCAGTTGGGCACTCAATATTTTCAGCAGGGGAAGATTTCCCTGGTTATCAAAGCAGCAGGGCACAGCTGCAAACCTTCTGGGACAATTCTCTTAGCTTACTACCTTCTTTTAAAGCAAACCCAAACAGATACATCTATTTAAAAACTTCTAAAAGGGGTTTTACTGACATAAAAAGTTGTAAAAGACAAATTCCCTGTAGACATGCCTTTGCATACTTGACATTTAAAAAAGTAGTGGAAAGATGCAAGTAAGGCACCAAAATAATTCCTCTTTCTTTCTCCTACCCCTTTATTGTAGTTATTCCTTTTTCTTTATCCCCTGTATGTTTCTAAATGCTGGCATTCCATGCCCAGGCATTGGCACACTTTGAATCATGGAACAGGTTCCCTTCAAGCAGCTGTGTTTTGTTTTGCTGGGGCTCCAAATAAAACAGACACTTCTTCAACTCTTGCCCCCTTTATCAGCCACCTTGGTAATGACATCTCACACCTCAAAGAATCAATAACTTTATGTTGTTAGAAACACTGGGCTTTAGAACAGGCTGGAAAACATCTAACCAGGAGGATGAAGGGACACTTGGCACAGCTGAGGACAAAATCTACTGAAAGTAGTGATGGAGTAGAGAGAAAAATATCCTGTGTTTGTTCTCTCAGGTGCAATATTTTATGTGATCCCAGTGCTGCAAACACCTTTGGCTTTATCTGCACATAAAATGGGAGGGGCTCACTTTGTTTTTCCTCAAAGCTTTTCTGGTTTTTTACTTCAGCTTAAAGAAGAACAAAAGAAAAAAACCCAATAGAATCCAAATTAATCCTGCTGTTTATAATAGTTACTCATTCAAATTTCATTTTCAGGCATCTTAGGAAGGTTCACTTGATCACCCAGTTTGATCTCCCATTTCCAAAGAGCTGTAATTAAAGCACAATCAGTCTCTGACTGAGGCATTTTCCAGAGAGGCACTCACCCCTGAAGAAATCCAGGGATGCTGCTGTTGCTTTTCAGTGTGAAGACATTTACTCCTTCCAGGAGACCCCTTGGCAACTTTTCTCTGTGCTGTCTTCACCTGGCCAAGAGACTTCTAAAAAGACACACAAATTTAATTTGGGCCTCCAAACAACATCTTGGCATGACCAAACTGACTGGTCCTGTTAATCCCTCAGGTCTGTACAGGTGACTCCTTATCAGCCCACTCTTGGATGGAGGGGAATTAATAAAGCTTTTCTGTTCTCACACCCTTTAGGATCAGCCAATTGACAGTTCTCTAGAGATTGTTTTTATTCCCAGTGTCAAATTTACGTCCAGTAACTGCAGGATGTTATTTTTTCTTAGCCAGATGCACAGTGTAACAAAGAATTCAAATTATGTTTCTCTCCCAGGGCCCATTTTCACAAAGCCAGGTGAACTCTGGTGAGGTGAAAATACCCTGAAAGGGAATATTGCCAATCACTGCCCATCACATGGAGCCTGGAAAAGGAACTAAAACACCTTCAACAGGGACTGCCTGCACACCCAAATGCAAATGGATCAATGTGAACAAGAACTGCTCCTGCACACGGCATTCCCACCTGGAGTCAGAACAGGAACACTCTAAAAACTGACAGTCAGAAGGGCATAATGGCTGGGATTAATTAAACTCGGGATTTAATGGGCATCCCCTGACACATTCGAAGCTTTGTTGCAGATACTTGAGGAATAATAATAATATGGGTGAGGATTCTTGCAGAGGTTTTCTGGGATGGGTTTTACAGGGTCTTTGACACCATGGCTTGGTGAAGCAGAGTGCAAAGAGAATTGGCATCATCTTTTTCATTTGCACAAAATCCCTTCCTCGGTGCAGAGCTGCATTTTAACATGAGTTTTTACAGAGAAGTGTGTGTATCAGACTGCTACATGATATTACAATCACTTCTAGAACAATTTCAGAGGGGATGGGGCACTGAAAACACAGCAATGAAAGCTTTTTTGAAGGCATCCAGCACCACTTGTTCTCCTTTGAGTCACTGAATTGCTGTGCAATTCCCTTCAGTGGGGTTAAGACTTTGGACAGCCCACAGAGAAAAGGCTGGTGCTGCTGGTGTCGTTTGCTGGGGAATCCCAGCAGAGTCCCAGAATCTCAGAATAAACCAGGGATTTTACACTGAGTTTAAGGCATAAAAATTGCAGAGTAGAAAAATGCAGAGATTTGCCTTTCAAGTTTAAAATTATGCCTTCTACCATTAAGTGTCTTAACAGATATTAAAAAGGTAAAGCATGAAAATGTATTTTTTAAAACTGTAATTCTGAAGGATCCATCATAAGCTATCTTTGCTGAAGAATAACTTTAAACAGCACTGAAAGCTACTGTTGGTTGTCAAGCTTTGAGGATGATTGTCCCATTTATCAATACTCTGTAAGCTGCTTTTCACATTTCCTCAGAGCTGTGTTGGTTAACAGAACATTCTTTCTTTTTTAAAGCATTCTGGACATAGGATTTATATATATATATATATATAAATTTATCAGCTACACACAATATTCTACTAAAATTATCAGAATGGAATTGTATCCTAGTTATTGAAAATAGCTATGTCTCTCCTCCTTATTTCCTTTGTGGCTCTAATTCTTGCACCTCTGTCTTTAATGGGGAGAAATTATTTACATAATTTAGAGAACCCTTTCAATCTTGTCAACAAATACAGATAAATATTTGCCCTGGATATAAAATAACATTCCTTGGTGTGACGCTCACAACAGCACGGGGTCAATGTTTACATTCCACAGGTCTGCACATGCAAGTATGCAGAATTCTAGTCCTGACTTAGGGCTGATTTCAGTGCTGGTTTGGGGGAATTACAGAGAAAAGCATCCTCAATCCACACTATTTTCAGTGATCCTTCTGTGAATGAGGGAAACAAAGCTTGAACTGAGGAAGGACTGAGGAGGGGGCTTGGCACAAGGGAAAAACACTTTAGCAGATTTGCAGAGTCAGCAACCTCTACACCACAAGAGCAGACAAGGTTTTGGCCTTTTCTATAAAAAAATACAGCCTATTCTACTCCCATGAGTTTTGAGGTGATTTTATGAGGCAGGATGGATCAGGCAGAGAGTATGAAATGAAACTCAACTTCCAGTGGAAAATGGACTCTAAAGCTGGCCAGGAATTTGCCTGCCAGGCCCTCTTGCCCCTGTACCCAGTTATGAGAACCCTTTTCCATCTTGGACCAGCCAAGGGAATCTGCACTGCAAGGTCAATTGGGCTTTGCTTCCACTTGGAAGAAATGAGGAGGCAACTTCCTAAAGAAGATACTTCTTTTAGGTTATTTATGAGTCCTATCCTTCCATCAGATTAAAAATAATAATAATAAAAAATCAGTAATTATGGGATGGTAGCAGTCATTCTCCAAATTGGAAAGCAGGGTGGAAGGAAAATCTCAAGGCATGAAAGCAGTGGGGCAGAGAGGGAAAGGCTCGTGATGGGAAGCAGATTTAAGCACTGCTAATTGAACAGTACTGGCTCATCCCTTTCTTCTGCTCCACAACTGCATCAGAAACAGAGCATTTCAGCACAGCCAGACCTAAAACACTGAAAAGGAGAGGGCAAAGGGACCTGCCCTGTAAATCTCAGAGCACTGGAAATGGAGACCAGCGTGTTTGAGTTGAAGATTACTGATGCAGGCTAAGTTTGAAACTGAAGGACACCAAACCATGAGAACTGAATGGAGTTATTATAGTGGTAATAAATAATCATTATTCAGTTACTATCAGGAAAAGGTAAGTCATTGGCTTCTGATACTGGCAGGGCAAACAGTTTCCTGCCTGACTTTACTCACTCATTTGGTAAAACGGATGCAGGGCTGCTTTGCTTTCTTAAT